GGGTGCTAAGTTGTGGTGACCATCCACATTGGGTGTGCGGGGAAGAAGGCGAATGATCCAACGTTAGTTGGTGGAGGCAATTTCAGACAAGGGGGTAGATCATAATGGCAGCGAATAGAGTAATTTGTCCCATCTCAGTGACAGTTGAAGAGGACGTTGCTCTCGATCTGTTGGAATTTCTCCTGGAGCAAAGTTTGTTTACACATGTAGTTCCAACTGGACACTGACTGCAGCTAATGCCACTTGTGTACGGTCTTATGCCTATGTAGTTACCCCTGAGATAAAAACATCAGAATTATTTGCCATCGCACATTCCTTGACGAAAAATTTCGCGCTATCTAACTTACGCTGGTTTATACTGACATGTCAGTAAAAATACCGGTGAGGGCCAGTTCGGCATCAAACTATCGCATTGTTTAACTGCACACCCAAGCTCCTCAGACGTCGCCCAGACCATCTAGTTAGCACAGTGAAAGAACAATTCTTATTGAAGTTGTGAAAAACATATGTCAAATGCGCTAAAATTGACGCTTCGGAATTTATAAATTGCACATTTAATCACACAACAGGAATATCTCTAAAGTACAAATATGTGATGAGTCTGCATAAATATATACTAAATGCTTTTCACAATTCCTGACCATCTTTAAATAGTCTTCGAGAGATTATAGACTAACCTGAATGTAATGTCCGCAGACCGTACCAACCGTACAAGCGTTTGATCCGTAGGTATAACCACTGACCTCGTTCCACCACTGGGTTGCCTGTGAGACCAAATTACGGCCAACACCTCCGGTTAGGGCAAGATTTTGTCCAATGCCATTGTATTGTGGATATTGGCTTGAATTCGGGTGTTCAAACTTGCATTTGGCCACCCAGTCGATCGCCAACTTCTCCAACTCCGCACTGTACACCTTCAGTAACATATCGCAACATTACCATCGCTTTTGCATTGAGCAGGGTGAGGTGGGCTATTGCACTTCAAGGAGGTGAGGTGTGGTAGATGCAGGTAGAGACAATCACAGAGGCTGGTGGAAGGCATGTCGGTGGGATTGTGGCACAAATGCAAACTCACCATTTCAAGCATATTAGTGGCCGAGGGGTTGACAGTTGCCCGTTTGTTGTTGTGAAAGTCGAGAAGGTCCTTGCGCTCCTGTTCAGTCGGAGCTTCGGAGGCGACGAGTGACACCAAGAGTAGGGTGCAGATCAACTTGGCCATGGTGCCTGGAAGGGAGTTGTGAATGTAAAAATAAGTGTGCTTCATGGAGGGGAGCCTTGCAAACTTACAGTTGAGCAACAAGTTGCACGAATGGCTCTGGTTGCTGTTTGCTGTTAATCTTTATAGTTCGTTTTGTGTACTTTTCGGTAGAATTTTTATCACAAGTTTATAACGCCGTCGGAACTTGCAGTTATTTGCTACACTGCATGCACGTCTTCGTGTTATAGTTCTTAACGCGCCTAACCTAACAATGTGGTTGTTAGTTCCACTCAAACAGAACTATTCCGTTGAGTTTTTTGCCACTTACTTGGCAAAGTAAGGTCACTTCCTCCAGTAATCGTAATATTTTGATCTACTTGACTCTACCATAAAATCTTTTTTGTTTGCGTGTTAATTCTATGGCACTGCATACATCAATTTTTGAATCCGTTTAGCCGGCATTTTTAATGCTTTGGTATAAGTAGATGTAGGCCTCAAAAGCATTTCTGTTTTCTCTGTTGTAGTCTCTTTTTCCCACATAACAAGAGCTCACTTTGTATCTTCTTATTCTAAGAAACTCCGTTTTGGTCAACGTGAAACTGTCAGAACTAGGAATATTTGCTTATTTGTGCCTATACGTTATGGTTTTTCCCATTAAACAATTTAAAATTGCGAGTTAAGCACTGTCTTTCTAAGTTCATTTCGTATGCTAGATTGAGTAAGGCAGATACATTCTGTAGACCTGAGGTTAATGGACGGCACATCTCTCGTCGTCAAGAGAACGCATCCTAAATGGAAGTTATTAAGTCACAAGATGCTTTACCTTGAAAGACTTCTCTCTCGACGCAACTCTTCCAAGTTCTTTTAGCTCATACTCACGTTCCTTGTCCTTATCGTCGGTCACCACCCTTGACACGGCAGTAGTTGGCGTAATGGAGCCTTAGTGTCCACTTGATAATAGGCAGCAATAAGCGAGGACCAATCAAATATCGCCGAATTCAGTAGCTCTCGAGACAACGTAAGTCCACTCAACATCCCATGTAAATGAATTGTGATGATAATACTGATTCATTAGAATTGTGGTCAGTCCTTGACCAATGTTTGCCTTAAACAACTCTGATAATAGGTGTGAAGAACAAATAATTGTTTAATGTCAACTGATCCTTGTAAAGTCGTTTGGATGTTAGATTTAATTAGCACTATCGTGTGAAAAGAACGAAATTTTTTCAGTCCCTTTGTAGATTTTTAGTGATTATTGGCAAGGATAAACTATGAAGAGGAATATTTTTGGGCTCTTGTTTCTTTGTACACCATTGGGGTGAATAGCAAAAATATACTTCTTGGACGTAATTTATGCACAAGTTTGTATTATTGAGTGATTTGTGAGGCTGGATGGAGGACGGCAGGTATCGTTGTCTACCACTGTCCTTGAACTTGGCTGTACTACGTATGCACACAGAATGGAAAGAGGTGAAGATTTTGGCACGATTTGGCAAAAAACCCTACAGCCACTCTAACTCCCTTCAAATATGTCAAAACTTTACTTTCTGGAAAAGTAAGGACCTCAAATAGTCTGAGAGAGTGTACATATTTAGGATCTACTTGGGTGCATTTCAGTGTGACGCCTTAGTGCTCACGCATTCCCTCAGTTGGTCTGTATTTATGGGAGCGACAATTATAAATTTTCCGATCAAAAGTTTATCATGGCATATTTCTAGCAAATTAGCCCGAACTAATATAACCTGTGCTGCATTTTCTTCACGATTGGTGAATGCATACGTGAAGACCGCCTGTTCGACTAGGCGCCACTATAGGCGTTGTTGACGCCAATAAGTGACTATTTGATCGTTTTTTACGTGCTTGAACAATTTAGTTAGTTATGTCCCCTTTTTAAGATCTACACTGTCTGGTTTAGTGTTTTTGCATGATATCCATTCAAATGGGAGTAGTCCTGTCTCTATAGAAATCGCAACAATGAGTTGATCGAATAGACAGATCACGAACTTTGATAACGAAATCCTTTTGAGTGTGGGGCTAAAAGAAGGGACATGTCCCGCACTTGTACCAGGTTTTGATTTGAATAATTTAGGTTTCCAGTTCACCTTGCATTTAGGCGCATTAGGGATTCTCTCAGCAACAATGTCATCTGTGCGTATTGTTGACTGTTTTGGCATTTTATTTGGCATTTCTCTTCACTTTTCGTCCCCTAAGAACGCCTATGACTATAGCAAACACTTGAACCATTTGAGAGTGGTAACAACAGTGAATTCGGTATGGTTTAACATAAGTTGCAAGTAATGCTGGGTAACTTCCACATCGAAAGTTAAAAATGCCATTTCTTTCATTTGTCTGTATAGTGAGTCAAAATTTTCCCATCGAGAAGAATATCCTCATCATAATGACTACAGTGCTTCGTTTGCTCGACTACCATTCATGGTTGTTGCCGCCCTGGTGACCGCACTGCTGTGACCTGGTGACACAAAGCTCGATCTCTTCCTTTGTACCATTCAAGGACTCTCAGTTTTTGATCCAAGGATCATTCAACAATAGAACTCCAGAAAGGTCATTTTATTGTCCAGCCCAATTTTCCCCCTTCGATGAAGTTGGTACATAAATTTTAAAGTTGGAATTCATTTCACAATTATGGGGAACATTACACCAATGGAATTTTTCCGAACAAAAACCACCAAGGAACATCTTGATTGAAGTTGTATGCAAAGTATTAGCTTGTTGCATTAAAGGACAGGTCTACAGGAAGTTGCTCATTGAAAAAGGGCGCAAACAGCATTGCCCAGCTCTTGCCCTGGGCATTTTATGAAGTTTAAATAAGCTACTACAAATAATTGATATATCGTTAATTTATTATTTCACTACATTATTAATATTACAGCTTCTATTATTACATTTATTTATGATTACAAGGTTGCTAAACATTGCACATTGCAGTGCTTACAGTTAAGCAACATTTACAAACTGCCAGAGGAGGCTATGGAGGCGTGAATAGCATTTTGTGATAACAGCAACACTTTCACGCAAAAATAACTTGCGATTACTTGTAAGTTGAAAAAAAGTTTGCACTTTGGTTTGTGGTCTAGTCATGGGTACGCCTCATCACATTATTCAACATAGTGCATGTGAATTCCTGGGTCACCGCAAATGCGCTTGTCAGTGAGTCGACTTTGGCATGTGTTAATATTGGACCGGCAGTGCTTCAGGTCTATTCAATGCTTTGCATAAAAGACATAATAATGGAATAGCAGGGTACGCATAGTAATGAACTTGGGAAGAATTCTGTTTTGCCCGTCACAAGCGGACCGACGGCTTGATAAATAGCACGCACGAATGAACACCTTCTACCATCAAATTAACATGCTGCTTAGAGGATTTCTTAGTGCATCGTAAAAGGCCTCCCTCAAAAGTACACCATCTTTGCAGTTTTGCTACAAGGTGGAGTTAAATAGAGGAACGGACAATGTGTACGCCATCGTGTATGCTAATTAGTGCTTGTAACATTAGTAATCCTCCCTACGCCTCCACAGCTAATGCTGAGACATAAAAGGTACCATTGTAAAGAATTTAGTGCCAAACTTTTCAGGATTAGTTACGCTACAGTGTCTTAACTGTTAATAACTACTCTAAGAACCATGGAACAAAAGTAGCTCAAAAAAGGGTGATTTTCCAACTCTCTTGCAGTTACTACGGGTGTTACTTTACTTTTCAGTTTCAAAATGCAAATCCAAGCACAGTTTTATTGAAATTAGGTAATTTTGTGTCTGCCATTGAATAATCTAGTGCTGCGTACGATGCACCACAGACTGTGCTTTTAAGTGTTTATGAAATTCAAGAGATCCAGTTGCCGGTGAAGCAAGCGTCAAAGGATAGACACAATTGCAGCCTATTGCTGCTTTGCTTTAATGATAGCAGCGCATACAGGCCAGGGGTTATCATCCCATTCTCGTTGGTTAAGAGCGAATAATATCATTTACTGCTCGAATGACAATCTGTACATGCTTAGCGGTAAAAGCACAGTCCAATTTAAGCTATAGCGACTAAGCTGAAATGATAAGTAACAAGCACGTGGCACAAAGCTCTTCAAATTTAGCTTCATTTTATGCAAGAGTTCCAGACACTTTCCTTTTTTAAACGACCACAAGCTGCCTCTTGCAGCTGACTCGATGAAGGCAAAATGTTTTAATCTTACTTTAATCTCCTGGACTAGCAAGTGAAAGCAAATTGTTAGGACAGTGTCTGGACTGACAAGCAAGTGACCATTTTATGCGACTTCAAGACTGAGATGCAATAAGTTATTCAAATGGATGACTGTGAGCCTGAACTCGCCTAGTGGGGAAGACCAGTGACCACTTGAGTGCAAGGTTGTCAGCGACTTTAATCACCGTTTGATCTTTGTTACTGCTCATTTTGAAGTACACTTGAAGGTTAGATCAAGCTAATTTGGGGTAAATATGAAAAGGATGAGAAAGGAAACGCCTCCTCGTACGCCCAATGGCTAAGAGCTAAATTAAAATTAAAATTCTCAACAAGTCGGACAAAAATTGCTTATCAGTGTTGAATGTGCCCTTATTAGCTACCAAACTGTTCTCGTCTTCTGTACATCTTTGTTTTGACTTTAAAATCCCTCGTAACTGTTCTGCATAGGCTAGATTACCTTGATGACTTCTTGCTACCAAAGACAAATTGTTTATCAAAACTGTAATCTCTTAAGAGCCAAAAATTCACTGAATGAGCAAGCTTGGCGATCGGCCAAGGTAATAGGCGGAATAATCACCTCACCGCGGTGACAGAAGCCGGTGGTCTGCGAAATAAAAACCTGCTCTGCCAACCAAACAGATACTAGGTGTTTGTTACAGCTTTACTCATTTGGGAAGAATCCATCCATAATTTAGTAATTCTGGTAAATTTATAGCGCAAAACAATTTGTCTCTTTTTTATGCGATTTGCATTCTCATTGTCTCCCATTGCTGCACGCCATGCATTAAGCATGACTTCCTAATAATCCTACCTCTTATCAACTGCCCAAGAAGTACAATAAAGACTTGAGGATCCCTTTTTGTTTTATAAAGATCATCAAGAGAGCTCATAACAGCGTTTTCACACTCACAATAGAGGAGACTATTTAAGCACCAATCTGCAATATTCATCATAACTTTGTGCAGTGACACAAGTCTTAACCCTTTTTACTTCTTTTGAAAAGCAGTCAAGCTAATGTGATCACAGGAATACGCTGTTGCTACTTGTGCTTGCCACTCTCGCTCCACCGACGCAACCGCATGGAAGATCACAAGCATGCACATCACAAACGCGTACTACGGGTGATGTTAGTTGCGTCTTAATGGCGTTGCATGTACTTCACCGTGTTCTGTCGCCAATTTTGATAACCTTACTGTTTACGCTATCCACGCAGCGCAATACGACAACTACCGGCGGCTTTGGAAATTCGCAGATTCTTGTCCATAGATGTAAACACACCCTCACACACTTAGGCGTGCTCAGGCACCTAATACAGCTTAAATGCAATCAAACGCCACATTGTTTATACGTAGAAGGAGGGTCTTGTTACCCGACCTTGAGGCGGGTTTTTGTTAAACAAATCTACGGGTCAACTGCGTGTTGCTTCCTGAAATAGGGTCGGCGAAACTTTAAAAGCTGAACTCAACCTTAAAAGAATGCGTAATCAACAAAAATAATGTGAGTTGGATAGTTGTGTTTGCCTTAAGGGGTTTAATATATGAAAATGCTTATCGTTTACCAGTGTTTTTACCTTGGATTTCATCGAAGGTAAAGATTTATCTCTCTTTGAAAATGGAGCACTTCTGATTACATAAATACGCTAAAGTTTAATACGCTCGTAAGTCCATTTACCTTTTAAAATTCTTTTAGATAATAAACTTTATGCTACTTAAATGTTTAAGTCTAGTAGTGATTGAGCAATTAATTTTGCCTGAAGTTTAGCATTTTTCACTAAACTGCCCTAACACACAGTTCAACATACTGCTGTTCTGAATGAATGCTGTCGGTATGAATTCAAAGGATGGGTATATAAGAGGTACTCGTTCTCTCGCAATAACACGGAGTGTGCTTATAACCTTGATTTCAAAGTCTGAAGCCTCCACGAAGGCATTCGTTAGCAGTGGCTAGTGAAGTGACCGTGAGAATTCCCACTAAATGGAGAAAAGAAATATCACGTGGAGTGTGTTTACTACGGCATGAGCTTACCATCTCCCTCGTAAATACTCCACGTTACCTTAAGCAGCTGTTTTTCCACAAATGTTTAAGATGAAATAGGACTTCACTTAGTATATTCTTTGATAGAAATTTGTTTCAGCATGTCCAAATCTTCGTGTACGATCGTAAAAATAAATTGGCATTTAGAAATGATCTATGGAAGAGTCTTTGCAACATAGAGTTGAAAGGATTGTGGGCAAAATTAGCACAAATTTAGCAAAGAAAATGTAAGTCTCGGTTAACGGTTCCGATTGGGTGATTTAATGCGAGCAAGCCGTAACGGGGAGGTTGGTGGGTAATAGGGGGATTGGCCTATCACCCGCTCAGGGAGTGTGACGAGCCTTTGCGCGTCCCGAGGACAGACAGTGACTAGCACGGACGCACCTCCGATTTCACCAATCATCTCTTGCGATTAAATAATGTTTCGCGTAAAAACGCTTTTAGGGCATTCTTCACATATACACACCGGAGGAATACCGTGCTGATGGCTTTAATGCGTAAGCCTTAAGCATATTTTTGTATTACTTCCCGATTATTTCAAAAAGATGCGGAGAAACAAGGCACCTCTATCTCAAAAAATCATAACCCGCAGTGTGAATAATACCTTAAGCCACATGGTTTTGGCGAATTTTTCTTTTCAGATCGTCAAATGACCTTGTTTCCACACAAAGCGGCAGGAAGCAGCAATCAACCATTGCATTTAGCAGAGAATCTCTCATCTTTACTGCCGAATTCAATCCTGACACCCGAACAAATAATAATGGTCAGGGCTTTGACGATCTCCTGCGGTCTCTTCGCACCTCTGCTCTCTCACTGTCGGAGGAAGAAATCACTGCAATCCATCCTACCAGCAAAATTCCATCCTCTGCATCATTCTGATGTCCAGAGGCCTTTTAAGTCTTCCAGTAGGTCTAGAGGAAACGCCGCGTCGACATTTCAACCCACTGGCAAAGTCAGACTACCGGATGGAACTGTCCAAAAAATTGAGAGCATCAGACTTGCTGATTTTTTACGAACAGCCGCGCCAATCAACGCAGAGTCTCTGCTCCAGTGGTGCAGAGTTGAGCAAATTTTCTTGGAAAGACCCCTAGCCTCAGACCATCGAGAGCTCATGAAAATTCGCTTTTCACTAAATCCTTTCACACCTTTACTGTTTACAAAAGGGTTCTATAATTTATCGGTAAGGCAACTCTTTAAACCTATCAAATATTTTTCATTCTCTACTAGTAGTCATTATCACCGTCCTTAGTTTTTCCACCGGCGTAGGTCATTTAGGCGGCGGGAAAAAGGCGTCATTGCGGTGTGCATTGCCCTTTATTTTGCTTGCGTTGACATTTAGAGGTAAATAATAGACCTGAGACTGTGTGGGAATGAAGACATCCAAGCTTGAAGAGATAATTGGCAATTGTAAACAAAAAGGTGCTAAAAAATTAATGCTAAAGTGGACTGGAGAGAGAGTACTTCCATTTCGTTTTCAGGCGCAAATGCAATGTCGATTTGAACTACTCATTGTTCTCGCCTGGAAGGAAACATCTTTTAAGTCTCAATTAGAAAGCCTCTCATACCTTAACTAATTCTGCTCTTTAATGTAAAAGATCTAAGCATTTTCGCATTTTACTTGACTATCTCAGTCTGTGATTACGTATGATCACATCTGCAACCGCGAGCAGCCCTATTTCGTCAGGTCGCATGGGTGGTCTTCATGCGATCCCCGCCTCACTCAAACCCGCTGTGGTTTGCGATGTCGACAACTTTCAGTTGGTGATTTCTGCCTTGCTATTATTCCATCGGAGATTGCCAAATCCCTATCACACAGCGCGCAAGTGAGTTCCACTTCTGGCAGTTGCATGGACAAAGTGCCTCCGCTTACGAAAGGACTGAATGAGGATACTTGGAGCTCAAGCAGTCCAGCTTTCCAAAAGTAAGTGGCTTAAAACCTTTATACGATTGTAACTGCTCCGAGTGGCAGATGATGATTTCCTACCTCTGGTGGTTTTGTACATAATGATAACTAAAGATTTCCATTTTAGCTGTGACTCCCGATTCAATTCTTCGCCAACTTTGCCCCAGCAACCTCTTAATCTGAAAAAAGAGAGCGGCGCCGTTCCCACCTACTTTACCGCGGCTTCTTTAGCCGAGTCGCCCTTCAAGGAGAAGTCTTTAAAAGTTTGTCCTTAAACTTACTTGTCCTCATACCCAAACCTATTCACAGCATATCATAGACGCGACTCTTCAGAGCTCTAAATCTATCTTTGACGTTTCCCTTTTGTATATTTATTTTCATCCAAATTAAAGCATTTCGGTTTAGGAGTACAGTTGTTTTTTTTTTGAAAATGTTGGCGAAATGTTGATTGATTTCTGCGTTCAGTTTTCTAGTTTGGCCGCATAGTTGGGTATGCAAGATGCGCAAGACGTAGGAAAAGTAAATCTTCTCTGTGGGCCATGAGGCACAGAAAATGTCCGTGGACTGTTATTATTTATTAGAAAGCCAACTTGCTCCCATAGCTCGGCATGCAGACCCCAACAGGTGATTCTGCTCCAGATTCCACACCTAATCCCCATTGTGTAAACAAATCTTCTTGGGCTAGAGGGAGAGGGGTCTGATCCCATAAATCCTCACGTATCCGTATTACGTTTGTAGCTGCACGTATACCTCTTCTACTTTGTGCGAATATCCCTGAGTCTGGGATGAAAACGCAATAACAGCATCATTTATTCTGACCTAAGCTAACTTAACGCCAAAATTAAAGATACTCTTTTCTTAAATAGTAGGCTAGTTGTGTGAATTACGGTTCCCAAAAGATTGGGAAAGTAAACAATCGAGGAGTTGATTAATGTCTTGTGGGTATGATGTTGGGCGGAGGGGCATTTGATTCCTGTTTTATGATTTTTGTACTTACAACTTGATTTAAGCGATGGGCCTAATTTATGTTGGCATTGTAGTATTTCATACAGTTTGCTAGACAAGACACAGTCTATCGTAGTTTACAAACAGCAAACTTAAGCAGCTTTTACGTAATTTGTTCTTTTTACGAAGCACTGGTTGAACGTTTTTGTTTTGGATCCGGTGCAGTTGAGCACTTAGGCAGGTTAGAATAGATTTTACAGGTATTCAAGGCCAGTAAGAGGGATAAGCTAAGCCAGCCTGAGTTAAAATGTCAGGGTCAAAAAGTAATAGGGTCACTAAATGATGATTAGAACTTGATGGAAAATTTGATGTCAGTGGTTATGAGCAAATAAAAGAAGCACTACAGAAGCTCAAGGCCTTGAAACTTCGATGCCGGCATCTCATTTTCGCACGGATTTCGTGGATAGGTTTGTTGATGTGCTGTGATCACGCTCGATTGCAATCCTATCTCAAGTCCAAGATGAGGAGATCACGGGCAAGTAAACCGATCAGCCTTACAACCACCGGTGGTGGATCGTTTACGGCTTTTACTGCGAAGTCATAACTGTCACAATTCATTATGAGTTTTGAGAAACATGACACAATCTGATGTCGCTTCATAAGAAGGCCAATAGTGCCATCGTCTGCCTGATAATTGACAACCACAAACCACAAAATTTCTGCTAATGGTCTCCGCGAGCTTAAAGCATTTTAAAGCACGCTAAGCACAAGCAAAGTCAAAAGAGACTGCCACAACTTGAAAATAAAAAACGACACAACTGGTAGCAACGACAAGATCGTTGGTGTAGGCAATCATCAAGACAACCAAAATGATTTATAACTGAATTCTCCTGCCGATGTTTATTCCAGTGTCATGAGTTATTTGAAATTTTCTCTTAAAAAAATTGCTTACCACTAGACCTTACTGCAATTTGTCGTTGAAAGGCTAATTAGCTGTAGCCTCTTGATGGAGTACTTATTTGCTTGATTGAATGCGGTGCGGTTGTGCATCAGTGGCTCCTGCCTTTTGTGTGATGATGCATTGTTATTAAGTGATTCACACATTCGAGGTACCCATTAAACAAAGCAAAGAAGATGCTGCTAACTTCACTTTATTAATGCCACGTTTATGGCACTGAAGGCTTTAGTCAACCTCGATTTTCATCGAGCACAATCATTAATGCATAGTCTTGCAAGTACTTTCCACTTTTTTTGGAGGCTTCGAGTTAAAGTATCTCGTAGTTGAGTCACATTGAGGAGCTGTGTTAAAAAAAGAAACATTAATTGTGGCAAATGGTAAAGGCAAAAAAAGAAATTAGACATTGGTTGATAATAATCAGTACAAAAATTAAAATCAGCATGCACATATTACTAACATGGACTTTTCGTCTTGTGTATAGGATGTAAATGAAGTCTTAGTGACTGCCAGAAGCACTCAAAGAGCTTGTGCCATAAGAGGGTGCGAAAATTACGTTATTAGTTATGATTCCAGACTATCACTTCTCCTACTCATTTATTCTCACCATTTCAACTTATAAGTCAACCACTTATGACCATTTTTGAATCAAAGGAAAAAAGTGGTTATCGAAAATTGACTATCATTCCTTTATCAAAGGGTAACTACGGCACAAAGTTGTTAATAAATTTTTTGAGTGGATTGAGAAATGTGCAAACAATATGTTGAAAAAATAGCTCTAAATAATACAATGGTTGAAGTGGCGCGTGGTGCGAAGGTGTACCGCGTTTGATGCATGTAGTCCCATTAATCACGCCTTGATGGCAGTGACCGCTCTCTCATGTCGCCAATTTTGATGGCCAACGGGTGGGCTACACCTCTATTTACACCGCTGGCGATTCATTATGGCTCACTTTCCGAGGCTTTTGCCCACGCTCTGCCCAGTAGGTCATGTGGTAATGCATTTATGGTCTACACTTATTACCTTATCCATGCATGATTCGGTATTTTTCGTTCAAAAATATTTTCGGCTAGCAAGATTTGTCAAAGAAAATTAAAAAAATATGATTGTAGCGTCTTGAAACAGTGAACGTGCCTAATAAAACACATACTTCGACAGAAGGGAGAGGGTGATGCTTTGACATGGCTTGAAGGACAGCTCAACGGGTGGAACTTTTACACATGAGCAGTTGAGCCAAAAGGCATTAAAACTATGGCAGTTGAAGGTGGCAAATTCTCACACCATCACCACAAATGATTTTGCTCTTTGTGTTCCTTGGTCATTGTCATACCTAACGTTGTAATAAGTGGAAGAGAGTGGGTTGAGCAGAATAAGTGGATGATTACTTGTTTTATTACTTTTGCGTGTTTGTGTACTTTACTTTCGAATCGATGCACACTTTAAAAAGGGCATTTGTTTAGAATCCATCTCTACCGTAGGCAATGACCGCAGCACCTCCAATTATATTTCTCTGCATCAACAAGAATTTGGCGGCCTGCCCTTTTAGATTTCCCAAGGGGTCAGTGGAAGAAAGTCGAAGGAGAAGGGTAAAAAGTAGAGTCAAACAAATATTAAGCCTTTTAAAAGGTCCAAACCAATTCTTTTTGATCATTATCCTGTGTCACTCGTCACAAAGTAGCCGTGACAAATAGGTATGACATTTCGTTTAGAGGGGAACTTCAATCGGTAAAAGGTAAATGATTTTCCTTCATACTCATGGAAGTGAAACTATTTTAACTAAGACTTTCTACGTCCTTCGTTGCGCTAGGCTTAAGAACATTAGCTTGTGGGCCTTGGCTATTTGAGCTTTGCCCAGTTGGTGGAGTAATGGAGGGACCTATCCCTGTTTGCCCATAATGACACTCCTCTGCAGACACGATAGGCAGTTAGTTTCACTATTTACTTTTAGAATCATTACAAAATCCGGAACCTGAGTAGACGCAAGAATCAGATGCATATTACAGCAATTTCTTTGGGTTTTTTAACGGATCGTCCAATAGGCCACAGACATCTTTACATTGCGTTAATTTACAACCTTTAGGAAAGGTACCAGAATAGCTATTCTCAAACATTGAGCCTGCTCACATCAACCAAGAAGTGGTAGAGTTCATAGCAGCCCTACAGAAATCACTCTTTTGGTGGCTCAGGAACAGCGCCGTTGTGAGGGCGCATAATCTGTGTAGAATTAAGCACCTATGCAATCAAGTGTCAATTCAAGCAAATCATAAGAGTGCTGTATGCAAACAACACATCACCCTTTCCAGCTAAGTGGCCAATCGAAAGCTTACAATTGTGCGCTTTAATAAGGTATGTTAATTTGTTTCTTTTTTTTGAATTTGTGCGGCTGTTTCTTTTTACCACACCGCATTAACTTGATGAGGAAGCTTTGCTGTTCTTGCGGAATGCTGAAAACTACCTACCAAGTCCGTTCAAAAGTCAGTGACCAAAAACGGCTCTAGTACATGCTCACTTATAGCCCACCTAATTCCACGGTGTTTTAAAATCAGTGGTCTACCTTATAGCTGATGCTTTATAGTTATCGGGTTTCCTTTTGAAAATAGCAAACTTCAATTTTTTATTATTGTAGGTACGCTGAGAAAGACATCGTGGAACTATAATTATTGAATGATGCATAACATCGAATAGGTTTGACGGTCAGCTATTATTTACTTTCCAGGCCGACCACAACTTAACAGGTTAACTTACCAATGGATCGCGATCGGTGGTCTTTAATTTGGCCCTACTGCTCTAGAAATGCTGAAGTTCCAGTTCTGCTGTAGTCAAGCATGTGGACACGGATTTTGACCTGTTTAGTATGCAAATGCACTGCCAGCTCCCTTGTTATAGCTCCAAAATTCCTCTTCGAGGGGTTCATCAAAACTTATTTCTTCTGGAATCAACTAACATGTTGAATGGCTACAGAAAGTGAAAGATTGGTAATTTACTTCAAAAGTTTGATAAAATCTACCCCAGTGATAATTTAGTCTGCCATACCAGACCGATGGATAGACATGATCAAGGCAAAATTGTGATGTTCTTCATCAATGTCTCTTCAAAATAGTCATTAAATGTGATGCCTCCAAGTTAAGCAAACGCGCAGAGCAGGCGCAGCGTTTTGGCCAACAAGACAGTGTTTTCACAACCCTTCTCAACTTGGCTCCACTAACTTGATTCAAAATAATCCCTTACTCCATTGTTCATAGTGGTCTCGGTCCAATGCCACCTCATCAGTTCAGTAGCCCCTTCTGGTAAAGGCATTAGCATTTTCTTTCAAAACCACATATGTGCACAAAAAGCTAACTGTCAGCTTTGAAGGAAATCATCTTACTAGCATA